TTCACCAAGTCTGCTCCTAAAATACTGTCCCTCCTGGGATGCAAATGACAGAAGAGTAGATTATAATTTTTTTATTGTGTAATTATTTATTTATTTATTGTTTAAGATTTTTATTTTAAGTGATCTCTACACCCAATGTGGGGCTTGAACTTACAACCCCGAGATCAAGAGTCGCATGCTCCCTGCAGCTGAGCCAGCCAGGTGCCCCTGCTGTGAAAAAATTTAAATGTGCCGATAAGAGTGAAGAATACTAGAATAAGCATCTATTTTGGGTATAGAATAAGCATCTATACTCCCGTTTATGAAACCTTCACCCCGTGCCATCTGTGTTTCAGGTTTTTAAAGTAAGAAATAAATTATAGCAGCAGGGGGAGGCCCCACACTACTCATTCGATGTCCATCGTTCCCATATATAAAAAATGTCCCACTTTTCCTGCCTCCTTGTGCTCAATGACCTTTTCTGGAGGACACCACCTCTTCTTCCAGACGACTTGCTCCTAGCAGCAAACCAGTTTCCCTTGAAGGAGAAACTCTCTAGTGTTGGAATCAGGCATCGGGGTTGGACAGCTGAGCCTGCTTTCCAGGTGGGGGCCCTTCTCTCTGTTCTGGACTCATCTCATACAGATAAGGACAGGTTCAGGGAAGGTCTGCGTCTGGAGATTTTTCTAGGCAATAGCTCAGAAAAGGCTAGGGGGAGGCAGGAGGTGGGGGCTACAGCCTAAGAGCAATCCCAGCAGAGGTGGGGAAGGGAGAGTTCCCAAGGGGCTTTAGGACCAAGGAAGGAACCCTCATCCCTGCTGGAGGTGATCCCAGCACCAGGCAGCAGCAGGGAAGAGGAGGTCCCACAGCCCAGTGGGTACAGCTGTCCCACCCCGATGCCTGATTCCAACACTAGAGAGTTTCTCCTTCAAGGGAAACTGGTTTGCTGCTAGGAGCAAGTCCTCTGGAAGAAGAGGTGGTGTCCTCCGGAAAAGGTCATTGAGCACAAGGAGGCAGGAAAAGTGGGACATTTTTTATATATGGGAACGATGGACATCGAATGAGTAGTGTGGGGCCTCCACCCTGGAGAGCAGGCTGCTCCTGCAGGGGTTGGAGGTGGTGCCTCACAAGCCCAGTGGGTACAGCTTTGTGGGATGAGTGCAGGGATTCACACTTAATTCCTTCCTGGGGCACAGGAAAGCTATGCACAGCTGGACCACACAGTCCCTTCTGCAACCACTTTGCCCAGGGGCCTGCCTGTATGCAGCCCTGACTGGGTCTCTGCGGTGGGTTTCTGCAGACTTTATCGCCTTGCTTGCTCTCCTTCACACAGATCGGCTCCTCTGCTTGCTGCTTGTCTGTACCATGCTCTCAGATCCATTTCTTCATTTCCATCTCTGCCTCCACTGCCAGTGGAAACCTGGACGCTGGACTCAGAGCCTCCTGACCCGCTCCCCGCCCCTCCCCCACCCGGGCTAGTTAGCCTTCCCTAACACAGCTCTGATGACGCCCTCCCCTAGCAGGGTCACCCCCTTCTTCTGACCCGAAAAGTCTCCAAGTGCCTTGACCAGAGAGTCGTGCTTGCTGCAATCGGCCTCTGAGCTGGAGACTGTCCCACTGCCTGTGTCTACGCCCAGCCTCGCGCTTCTCCGGGAATCCCCACTTGCCCATTTTCCTTCCCCACAGCCCCCTTCCCCGGTCCCCGGCCAAGGGCATAGCTCTTCCTTCTCTCAGCCTTGCCTTCCACCTGGCATCGCTGTATCAGACAGCTCACCTCTCCCACGAAGGGAGGTGCTTATTGCAGGTCCTGCACGGAAAGCACCCAGGAAATGTCTTCTGGTTGGAGGATACTAAGTTAGGGATGACTTTGACAAAGCAGAGCCATCTCTCAGGAGCTTGGAACCGCTCTCGGAAAGCCTAACCAGGGGGTGAGGTTACCTCTGGCAGTGTGTGAAACCTCAGCCTTCTCTCTGCTTGCTTGGCAAGGGGAGCCGTCGAGCCTCTCCGCCCTGCTTGCTGACCCCAGGAGTGTGCCCACCCACGATTCACTCCTCCAGGAGATGTCACACAGGTGCTGTGCAGCTGGGGGTGAAGGGTTTGGGACACCTGGGATGGGGGGAAGCCTTTCTCTGCAAGGCTGTCCTAGGATGGGATGGAGGGTGCGTGATCCCAGCCAGTACTAGCCGCGGGCCTTGGCCACCCTCTACCCTGTCATGGAAAGGAGCCCCAGCCAGGAAAGGAGAAGCCACTGCAAGGGTATAAAACAGAAGAATTGTTTTTATGGTAGTTTAAACACTTTATGCACATATGTACATACATATGTGTATCTGTATATATCATTCAAAAAATATGTATGTATACATACATATATGTATTACTTATTATTTTGAAATTATTTCAATTAAACTTAAGGCAAAGGTATAAACATAGTACAGCGTGTTCCCATGGACCTGTCCAGCTTCCCCGAATACGAACACCTTACATCACCATAGTACAATAATGAGAACTAAGGAATTAACATTCGTATCATGAGACTTCATTCAGATTTCACCAGTTTTCCCACAAACGTCCCTTTTTCTGTTCCAGGATCCAGATTTGCATCCAGCTGTCATGTCTCCGTATTCTCCTCCAGTCTGTGCACCCTTCCTGGGTCTGGTTTTCTATGACCTTGACTTGAGGAGTGCTGGTTACTTGTTTCATAGAAAGAAAATCTTCCTGATTAGATTGAGGTTGTACATTTTTGGCAAGAACACTTCAGAAGCAATGTTCTCTCTTGAGCGCATCATACTCGGGAGTCCATGATGTCGGTAGGCTTCGTTATGGCCAGTGTTATCCCCCATCTCTTGGTTGAGGTGGTGTCTGGTGGATTTCTCACTTGACTTCGTATAATTAATTAATATATTTATTATAATTAATAATTGATATAATTAATAAATAAATTGCTTTGAGACTGCAAATATCCAGAGGGAATGTAATCCAGGCAATTGGTAACCCAGATGATAAAAGAGCTGAGAAGTGAAATAAGCCAGATATTAGCAATCCCAGGAAGCCAATTCCACCTCCAGGCCTGAGGCACAAAAGGAGGAGATGGTGTTGCCAGAGCCTGGGAGTCAGGGTCATGCACAGAAGGCCTATCTGGTGAGGTCTGGAGCCATGAAGGAGACCCAGTCCCTGCCAGCAGGGCCCTCCCTGAGGCATAGGGAGAGGGGAGAAACCAGCACCTTGGCTTCTTCCTTCTTTCTGCCTCCCAGTGGCCGAACCGAGCTGGAAGCCAGCTGACACAGGAGGCTGGGAATCGTAGTCTGCAGGGGTCAGCTCCTCGGCGGTGCCCAACAAGGATGGGCCAGACGTGGCTATTAGGACACACTTGCCCGGGACTGCTGCCCCACTGTTTCCCTCGAGCTGTGCCATCCAGTATTGTAGCCACTAGTCACGTGTGTCTCAAACACTTGAAATGTGGCTGGTCCAATCGGACATGTACTCTAAGTAGATTTCAAAAACTTGGTATGGAAAGAAGAATATGAAAGATCTCATTAATATTGTTTTGGGGTGCCCGGGTGGCTCAGTCGGTTAAGAGTCCAACTCGATTTTGGCTCAGGTCATGATCTCAAGGTTATGAGATCGAGCCCTGCATGGGGCTCTGCGCTCAGCGGGGAATCCGCTTGAGATTCTCTCTCCCTCTCCCTCTGCCCCTCCCCTCCCACACATTCTCTCTCTCTCTCTCTCTCAAATAAATAAATAAATTTTTTAAAATAATGTCTGGTATTAATTACCTGTTGAAGTGATCATATTTTGGATATATTGACATAAAATATATTATTAAATTTAAGTTAACCTTTTCCTTTTAAAAATCTGGCTGCTAGATCATTTTAAATTACCTCTGTGGCTCCTATTTGTGGCCCTCATCTTATTTCATTTGGATAGGGCTGCTCTTATACAGGCCTGTGTCAGCAGCGCTGCAACAAAGGTCATGCCCTTGACCCACAGTCAGGAGGGTGTGCCCAGCTAAGGTTTTATAACACCGGGACTGCACTGGCCTCGAGCCATTCACACTCAGTCTGTTTTGACCAAGTATGTCAAAGAGAGATATTGGGCTCCTCTGCTCTTCGTGTGTTGGTGTGGGTCAAGGTCAGTGTTCAACATTAGCCTAAGGGGCTAGCTAACATTTAACGATAGTTAAAAACAGCACCATATAGCTCGATGACACCTTACAGAGGAAAAGCTGTACTGTTACAACTACTTAATATCTCTACAGTGTTTTTATACGTTTACAGAAGTCCTTCATTTCAACCTTGCAGTCAGCCAGCGTTGCTGGCCCCGTGTCGTAGATGACCAGACAAAGCCTGGGAAATGCATGGATTTCAGCGGCTCTCAGACTTCTGGTGCATCACTAGGGGAGTTTGTCAAAACACAGCAGCTCAGCTCCACCCTCACTGAGGGTGGAGGGTGGGGCCCAGGGACCCCTGTGCAGCAGGTTTTGGGGGAATCTCATGCGAGTGGCCGTCAGACCACATTTTGGGGCACCCCAGGTCTCTGAGCTCTTGAGGAGTGAGTGCTGGGACTGGGCTGGAGCCAGGCTTCTGATGGCCAGTCTGGGGCTCTTCCTGTCAGTCCACGGGTCCATTGTCCCCTGGAGCTGGGTATACGGGAAGATCTACATGTATATGCCTCCCCTCCGAATCAGGCAGTCAGATGCTGTGCTGGTTGTTCAAAATACAACCACTCTGTGTCCTGTGTGGTTGACTCTGGAAGGTAGCCGGGCTCGATCACTCTGGTGGGCTTAGGTGAAGGGAAGTAACTTTGCCTTCCCCAAACATACACCAGAGGGGTCACCTCAAGGTGGAATTTGGAGATGCCAAAGTGGACCCACTGGTAGGGAAGGATTTGCCTTTGAAAATGGCCAAGTAGGCTTTTATCCTGGCTCTCCTGCAGAAGGGCAGGGCCGTCCCGGCAAGGCCCCAGCAGGGTGAGGGCAAGCCTATGTGTCCAGCCATCACTGACCACTCCTTTCTCTCCTGCAGTGGGCAGCAGACCACGGTGAGCGGCTAGACAGCAGCTGTCCCTTCTCCCGAGGGCGAGCCCCCCCGCAGCAGGTAGGGAACCAGCTCCGTGCTCCTTCAGGGGTGCTCACGTGTCTTGTCTGTCTGGGTTCCTGGGCTGGCTCGTGACCGCTCTCCTGAGCCATGGTGATAAGGAGAGAGCAGGAAATAGAGAGGAGGGTTGCGGTCTGCTCTCTGGAAAGTTCTCCCTGAACACCCAGCCCACAGTGAAACACCCCCTCCTCAAAACACATAGATTCCTGAGATTTTTTTCGTCATTTGATGATTTTTGCATCAACATCTGCAAAGAACTGCGTGTTCGTTGAGAGGAGAGTGGATAAATGAGGCATGGAATAGTGGATGGCAGTAACACGAATGACCTTGGAGGTTCGCACATCAGCGTTGGTGATGGATCCCACAAACAGTGGGCCTCCTAGAGTTTGGGTGCTGGAGGGGCACTTGAGATCACTTCTGCTCCAGGTTTGCAGAGGACCTGGAGAGGCAGAATGTGGGGGTGAGGGGTCAGTACCCCCCCACCCCCGCCGCCAGCCGTCCAGCTTCCTGTTCCGGCTGGAGCCCGCTGCTTCTGTCCCTGCTGCTTGCCTGGGAGATCCCCAGGGGGCACCCACACCGGTGTGGGGTGTGAGGCCAGGAGGAAAGAGGCAGCTGCTCTGGTGACCCTCAGGCCCCGTACACCCCCTCCTGGTCATCCACCTGTTTTTGCTGATACCTGCTTCCTGGAAGACCATGGGACTGGAGGCTGAAAAAAACCCATCCATCCCCAGCGGTCAGCCCAGCCTCATGCTGTACCTGTCCAGAGAGATAGGGGGAGCCTTTATTGGCTCCTGCACTCACTTGCTCCCAATTTCAGAGCAACTACATTCACACATTGCCCTGAGCCCACTTGCTTGTGTCTGACTTCAAGCCCATGGCACTGATTAAATCAACTCATCTCTCTTTTGTCCTAAGCGAAGATGGTCAGTGGCCTCAGTTCTAGATCTTTCTTAGGCTGCCAGCCTTTGTACACCATGGTGTGGGGCGATAGCTGCCCTCTCACACTACAAGATGTGTGTGTGTGTGTTTCATTGTTTCTTGGGCAGGAGGCCATAACGAGAACCCTGGGTTGGGGTTGTGGGTCAGGGAGGAGGCAGGAGACCCAGGTTCTCCTGTTTGCTCTGCCACAAACTTGGTAGAAATTATTTTCGTCCTCAGCTTCCTCCTATAAAAATCAGGGAACTCAATGGCCTCTGAGGGTTTGTCTAGCTTCTCTATGCCACTTTGTAACTGAAGTCCATGGAGGTGTCATGACCTGACCCAGCTGGGACTTGAAACCCAGGGCTCTCACCTGCCCCTCCCCGTATTTGGCCCTTTTCCTTGCTTTACTGTAGTAGGTGTCCTTCCATGGAGGACTGTTGTCCCTGCCACTAGACTGCCAGTGCTTGGTCAGGAACCCCGTGTTATCCTCCCTAAACCTTTCCAGCCGTGGCCTGAGGCCCGGCACGTCAGGAGCACTGTCTGCCAATTTCCTACGTAAAGACTCCTTTAACTCTTCGCTGGCAAAGGCGGGCGTGGATCTGGGGACTCAAGAACCAGAAAGTTCCAGGAAGGGGTTGAAATTCTTAGATAGGGGGCATAAGTGGCTGATAAATGAGAGACCAAAAAAGTAGCTCTCTTGCTATTTGGTCAGTAGGTATCTGGTGCTGGAATCTTCCCAGAATCTTCTTTTCTTCCTCTCTCTCTCTCCCTTTATCACCTTTTCGGGGCCCCCTCTTCCATTCCCTCCGGTCTCATTCTCCTGTCGCTCCGCTCCCGACAGGATTCCAGGGGCTCAGAATGACTTGCGCTCCCACTTGCCCCTCACCTGCCTCCCTCACCCCACGCTGTCCTTTCATGCCCAGGTTCACAGCCCTGGAGGACAGTGGGTGGGGAGTCGGCCAGACCGTAGGCTAATGGAGCAGGGCTGGGGCCCAGTGGGATGGGGCACCCTGGCACCACGAGCACCAGCTGACCCCCAACCCCACCTTCAGGAAGCAGTTGAACAGTTGGCTTGGGTAAGCGGGGTTAGACAAAATGAATGCAACTGAATTTAAAGAAGAAATCATAAAAGGCTCATATTTGATCGTTTCTTGGCAGGTGGAACTGAGACATAGGTTCATTATGGAGGAAGAACCCCAGGAAGGTGGAGATGGGGTCTGGTTAAAATAAACCTGCCTCAGGGCGCCTGGGTGGCTCAGTTGGTTGAGCGTCCGACTCTTGATTTCGGTTCAGGTCATAATCTCAGGTCATGGAATTGAGCCCTGCATCAGGCTCTGCACTAAGCATGGAGCCTGCTTGGGATTCTCCCTGTCCCTCTCCCTCTGCCCCTTCCTCCCCACTCGCTCTCGCTGCCTCCCTCTCTCTCAAAAAAAAAAAAAAAAATTGAAATTAAAATTTTAAATATACATATAAAAAACCTGCCTAGAGAGGTTTTTTATATGTATATTAAGGGGCACACTGATGTGCCCAGAGGATGAGGCCTTTTTGGGAGGGGTCTCCTGGGTCACAAATTCATGTTGAATCAAACCGTTCCACATACATTTGGCTATCCCCTCAGCCAGCTGGTCAACCTTGAGATGAGCACTAGGGCTGCCTCTATATCTCTGACCACCCCTGCCTAGGGCTTTGCACACGGTAGTCACTCAGTTAAGACTCCTGAGACTGCACTGAGTTGGCCCAGGCCCAGTCCATGCAGTCAGTCTCTGGTGGACTCTGTTCCTCTTGCCACCAATTTTGCTGAGCTTTCTGAGGTCATTGGGATGGTGGAACAGCTCTGCTACCCCACATTCACCCATAGGGGAGAATTTCAGAGGGAACTAAAGGTAGATTGAAATGGGTAGCTGGCTGAGTTGGCATTCCCCCTTAGCCACATGGGCCCAGGAAAGTGGGGACCAGCAGGAGGATGCTGAGGTTCTGCATTCTGCCCAGGGAGCTGTGTGTGGCAGGTCACAAACCATGCCCTGAATGAGTAGCCCAGGTGCAGGCACCATTTGGGGATTAGCCATGCACTGGGATTATATATTTTGTTATTTCAACTGATGTAAGGAGAAGGGGAAGGGAAAAACCCTTGCCCTCTCTGAGCCCTTTCAGAGACACAAAGTGGGTATAACCTAGGGCAGCCTGAGTCCCATGAGATGAGAGGAAGGGGCTCAGAGGAAATTGGGCTATCTACCTGCCCACAATTGGGATTCAGCCGTATTGGGGAGTATTTGGTGTCCTGGCAGCCTCTTTCCAAGAGAGCTCATCCATCACCTAGTCACTTAGGAAGTTGTAGTCGTTTCCAGCTTTTCACTGTAGTAGGGGAATCATTGTGGAGATGATTTACAGGAAAGTAACTGATAGGAAAGAGTGCAACCTGGTGCCTTTAGAAAACGTCTCAAGGTGCCAGCATGGGATTTAGCATTCAGGGAAGAAAGCCAAAGGCATATGGAAGGTTGTATGAGGTCAGGAGCTAGCAGCTCTTCTCTGTCTGCACAGAAGTAACAAGGGAAGAAAATTAATGTGCACAACAGCAGCAGAGCATCTGATTAGTCCTTGAGAAAGACTCCCTGACTGAAGAACTTGTTGGCCTGCAGTGTTGGCTGTTGAGCAAGGCAATGAAATCTTCACTGGGAGCCTGATGGGCACACTTCCTTATCGGGCAGTTTCATGCGGAGCCCTGGGAAAGGTGGAGGTATGTTAGAAGTGATATCTTTGAGTCCTGGCCAATGGCCTGGGATCCCACATTACCTGAAATGATGAGAGAAGGGCATTCTCCTGTGCCATCATGAAGTCCGCTAACAAATGAAGCCTCAGGAAGGAGTGAAAAGAGTCTTGTGCCAAGGGTCCAGAGAACCAGATGTTGATCCAGGTGTGGCACACATTTCAGCACCTCTTCTGCAAAATGATAGATTTCTCTGAACCTCTTTGGAAATCTGTTTCATTGTTTCTGGGTCTCCAGAAATGGCCAGTTGGATCCAGATAGCTGCTAAAAGTAGCAGCAAGTCTGGATTTTCCTGATTTCTCCACTGTTCCCTTACCCTCCCTAATACCTGTGCTAACCTGCAGCTGGGTTCATTCTAGATGCCAACATTGACTTAGACTCAAGAGATGGCAGGTGGTAGGTGGAGGTGAGCCTCAAATACATGGCTTACCTCTGACCCATAGGAAAGGGTAAAAGGAGTTTTCTGCCAGTCATCTTGTTGCCCTCAGTAATTACAGTATTTGGTTCCGTGCCAGTTAAACTCATTAATACAAATGATATCTTAGTAGAAGTACCTAGATTTTTACTCAGCCTCTGTGGATATTTAAGAAATATCATGTTCATGGCACTTCTATTTCATCAGTGTTTATTGAGTATCTGCTGTGAGCTTGGCAGACACAGATGAGCTGGAGCCTTTGGGCTCATTACCTGTTTGTGGAGTAGAGGCTACTTAACACGGAAGATATACAAGGCACTCAGTTAAGTCCCCCAAAGATATTTCCTGACCACAGATACTGTGGTCATTCCAAAGTGGTCCTTTTGGTCTCTGTGGCTAGAGAGACGCCTTATAGGACATGAGACCTGTTCTGTGCTCTCAGGAATGGTTAGGATGCTTGACCAGACAGAAGGGAAGAGAGAAGAGGCTGAAGAGAGAAGAAATGGTGTTCACAAGGCTTGAAGTTGGGTGCAATATTGGGATGTTAGGGCAGCAGGAGAGAGTACACCTGGAGTGGGTGGTTTGTGTTGGGGTTACAGGAGTATTGGGAATGAGGGTGGTAGATGCGGTGCTGTCTGTGCACTCAGCTGAGATGCTGGAACTGCTGTCCAACCCCACCCCTGCTTGTGTACCTTGTATATCTTCTGTTGTCTCTGGCGTTCCATCCAGGTAAAGTCTGTCCCCTTGTATCAGTCAGGATAGCCTAGGTCATGCTGCAGCAACAAACAGCCTTGAAACTTGGTAACCGTAAACAACCCATCCAAGACCCAGCTTGATGGAGCAATTGCCATTCTCAGCAGTCACCAGGATAGAGGGAGAAGGACCACTGGAGGGTCTTGC